GTGGGCGATGAATGCTCGCCAATCTGTTAGTATGAAAGAGCCAACAACGCCTCGCAGACGCGTCGCCGAGCCCAGAAAAATATCTAGCATGCTAGATATCCAGAGCTGTCGCACGACTCAAGCTCACGTGATGTCATGAGCTACAGCCAATCAGAGCAAGGCATGTTCACGTGTTGTGTTCTTCTTCGCTGGGTATTGGCGCGCGTGCTGTTTCGCGTCATTTCCGGTTCGTTTTATCGCGTGATTTTTCGTGACAAAACGTGGTTTGTAGACAAGATAGAATCGTTGGGTGACAGAGTTGTTGTCAACTCGTGTAGTGCGTTACCTCCTGTTGCGGATCAATCACGTTGTGTCGTGTGGTGTGAACTAGCTCAACAACTTGAACACTCCTGATTTCACAGAGAGCAAGTCATGTAGTGTGAACCGCACAGTTCAGCCTGACGTTTTAAAATCATGTAGTGTGAACTAGGCTTAAGGGGCGTTGTTGGGCATGACGCGGAGCGTTTTTTATAAAACGGTTACTCCATAAAAATATTCATTTTAATATTTATTTTATTCATAAAATAAACACCAGCAACAAAAAAAATATAACGTATAACACATTTATTCCTCCGCCAAGCAATGTAGTTCCAAAGAGGTTGCTAAGAAACACATGCAGCAACAAAGCATCACAAACGGCAGTTGCGCAGTAATACTAATGTAACGGCTTTGAACGCGGCTCAACCAATCAGAATCAAGGACTGGAACTATCCGTTTTATAATTCGTTTTTAAGGAATTGGTATATGGTTGCCAGAATGATTTTATTTGTTTCCTTAATATTCTGTGCCCAGCTGCAAAAAAACACCCTATGTTAAGAAGAAAACCCATAGTTATAATTGTTAAAGGAATAGGTTAGTTCACTTAAATGAAAATTCTGTCATCGTTTACTTTGACTAGCTTTCGTGAGGCACCCTCGCAAGGTCTCTCGCTCTCTCCCTCTCTGCCGTGCGCTATGTATGTTATGCGTAGGGCTGGGCAAAAAAATCGATTTTTCGATTAATCGTTTTTTTTTTTAAATGTGGTCGATTCAAAATCGATTCTCAATGGCCACGAATCGATTTTTTCCATATTCAGGGCTCGCGTGCTGCGTCTTCTCACTCTGCACAAGGCAAGCGTCAAACGCTGCTGGCGTCGATACACACTCGTGTTTAGGAGTCGGGACATGATTCACTTGCACAATCGGGCCAGCATTGCATCGTAACTAACGTTTATCATTTTCAAATCTTTTTTCAAGCAATTTTAAACTATCCTGTGCTCGCGCACTCGTGCATGTTTTTCATTGCGTGCAGCCTAAATCCGCCTCACAACAAACAGCTCGCCAGTAACAAAAGTTCTTTTTCGTGGATTATATCGCTTTAACAGTTAAAAACACGCAAAATGATGTCAAAAGTCTGGTCTTGGTGAGTAACCTCGTAAAGACAGTCGGTTATGTCTTAAATAAGCATAAAACGCGTGTGACAGACAGTATAATGAAACAGTAATGGATCCGTGCACTAGTTCTTAAAGTGAACGCAGCCATATGTGTCTGTCATTAATTTTGTTGTCAAAACAACATAATACAGCATTAATTGTAAGGAATCAGAATTAATAGCTTATGTATTTAATTCAGTCAGGACTAAAAGACTATCCAGTGTTATTTTACATTGGATTACTTTATTCAGTTTCTGAAGTATTTCTGACCTACCCAAAAACTTTTCTTTTTATGTCTCTTTAATTGTCTTTTTAGGCCTATTCTATTGTATTTATTTGTGCTACTTTTTTCAATTTAATTCAAAGATTGAAATCAAGCTTCCATGTGTTGCATAAACTCTTAACAAAAAAATTACCCCATTGTAAAAACAAACATTTAGGTGAGATCAATGTAATAAAAAATTGTCTAAAAAATGATAACTGAGATTTAGACTGAGATTTGTATTACATCTATATTCATTATAGTCGAATCTAGAATCGAATCAGGAATCGCAATTCGAATCGAGAATCGAAATTCGAATCGAGAATCGAAATAGAATCGAGAATCGAAATGGAATTGAGAATCGAAATCGAATCGAGAATCGAAATCGAATCATACTGTGAGCTTGTGAATCGAAATCGAATCGAATTTGAACATCTGAATCGATACCCAGCCCTAGTTATGCGCGCAGTATGTTCTGTCTCGCTCTAGATTCCGGGAGATTTTAACTAATTTGCGGGCATCAGGGAGACACTATCAATATGCGGGAGACGCTATCAATATGCGGGAGACTCCCGGAACTTCCGGGAGACTTGGGATGTCTGAGAGAGCAAGTGACCAATATTGGTATCAGAATCAGCTAATTCCTATTTGTTAAAATCGGTATCGGCCCGAAAAGATCTGTGCATCCCTAATTATCACTAAAGACTTTTTCTTACCTTAAGGGGTTTTGTATGTCTTTAGATTTGACTCTGGTTCCTTCTTCACTGTGGTTTTTGGGATGTTAAGTACCTAGGGTTAGGAATTTGAACAAACCCCCAACTTAGCTATGAGTATTATAAATAGCAAGCACCGCTAATTAGACGAACAAACCTTTTGTCGTGATTGAGAACAATCACATAAGTTTAAATAAATGGAGGTCAATAAAGCCCATTGTGGAACGTCCTCAACAAGTTGCCTATGATCTCAAGAGGCTTTTTAAAGGACTGTCCTGCAAACGGGTAACAAAGCATGACAACAGACTTGATTTACAGTGAAATCTTTTGTCATCATGTGGTCGCTGTGCTGTCCCGCTCCATTCTTGTCTACTCTTACTCAGCAACAAGTTGTCTCTTTAGTGTCATGTCGCCAGTGCAGTGCGTCAAGCCACGGTGACCCGAGTTCCCTTACATTTACTGGGTGGCCTCTCCCTCACCCAGGAAAAGAGAAACTGAGATTGGGGGGAGGGCAAGTGACATAGAAAAGGAGAGAGAGAATAGAAGGAGAGACCTCCAGCCACTTTGAAGCTTCTCTCTGGTTCCTGTGTCGGGCTTCTCCCCAGTGGGACAAAAGGCCTTTATGTGTGGCTCAGGCGGGGGGCTGCAGGGGGGTATTGTGGGACTGGGGCGGTGGGCGGCAGGGCTAGATCCCCCGTCTATTGATTTTCTCTGTATATTCTGCCTCACCCCCTCCACCCCGGCCAGGCTTACCAGCTGTCTGCTCTACACCTCTCCCAGCCTCCTCCCAAAGCCCCGCCACAAAGACACACACAGATCATATGGGCACCGGCATTAGCATACTTATTGGACCCGAGGCTTAAAGGAACTACATGGAGACATGCTCAAGAAAATATTGATTTGCACAAGTATATACCGCTTGTTTTGAATGCACACGTAGCAGGACAAGAACATCAGTGCCGTCTAAGTGGATGACCTTCAATTTGCGGTGTGACCTTTACGCACTTGCATATGTCGGGTTACTTCCATCAGGATGTTTACGCGAACATTCGTCGCAATTGTGCAAGTCATAAATATTATGCAATCTCTATATAGGGTCAAAGTCAGTGAATAATGTTGAAGAGGTTTACTTTGGCAAATGCATTGGTTTCATTTACGGACACTCGGAAGTGTATAATAAAGTACCTTGTGGTGTGTGTAAAAGTTTGAATCTTCCTGAGCTAGTTCAAAGTATGTTAATCTATCGATAACCAACTGCCCGTGTAATAACACATCTGGTTTAATGGCGAATAGATTTGATGGATCCCCTTGAGGACTGAGGTCTGTTACCGACCGCTATAGCAATCCAGAAATCATGTGACAACACCAGTAATACAGGCACCACTGCCATCACCCTCTCTTTCCACCTCACTTTTAAATTGCTTACGGTGCGTGTCCACTGGCGCAGAGCGGATGAGCGTTTCCAATCAATTCCTATGGATCCTTAACAATTCAATTAAACCATTTTAAAGGAATCCAGAAACATGACAACGGATTTTCAAAAGGCATGTCTCATCTTATCCGTAAATAGGGAAAGGTAGCTCTGTCTACTTTGACATGTGTCCGGTGTGGTAGTGGCACAGGTTAGTTGTCACAACGACTACTAAATCTCCCGTTTTATACAATCGCTGAACAGAGGAGAGTCTGCTGGTACAAAGAGAACCAACAGAGCTTGTAATAAAACAAGAATCAACATAAGCTTGGCTTTTCGGAGATGGAGAGAACTGAGGGATTTGAGATGTTGTAAAAGCTAAGCTACGTAGAGGTGTATTTTATTGAACGGATATATTTCCATATGCTGCTCTCTTAACGGAGTTCATTGTAAAGCATTATATAGTTTGAAGTGTGATATTTTATTGTGGTTGTTGTATCGCTTTGCTGGAATTTATTTTTAAGGAAGTACCGTGTCTGTTAATGGGTAAAGCTACTGTAACGTCTTCAGCTTGAGACCCTTTACATCTAAACTGGTTATCTCTCTTAAGCCTAGTAGTGAATGTTTAATGAGCTGTAGGATAATCACATTCATCTGAACACGCAGAGCTGAAGAACTACCAAAACAAAGTTCCTCCGCAAAATTCATGCAGTTTTTTTTTTTTTTTGCTGCTAGAGGGACTAAAGTTACATAGTGTACCTTTAACTAGGAGGCAAGCTATCATTATGTTTAATGAAAAGTGCATATTTAGTGGAAAGAGTTGCCTCGGTTTACTCTGTCCCTGTGATTATTGTTCTGTAGATGGATGGATGGATAGAGGAGTAGAAGAATAGAAAGGGAATGACCCCCCCCCCCTCACACACACACACACACACACACACACTTTCCGGTGGGGGAGAAAGTTAGAAGGTAACGTGCTGTGACCCTGATAGGATCCTCCTCCATCCTTTCCGTCTCCTCCTCTCACTGTCCCTTTTGTCATCTCTGGTCATCAGTGTTACCTCCATCACCATCATCATCATCGAGATCATTCATGAGGACAGGCTGAGTGTGTGTGTTTGTCAGTGCACACACACCTGATGACTGTAATGTGTGTGTCTACAG